TCTCTCTTCTTTTGGCCTTAAAGGAGTTCCAAACACAGCATACACTTTGGCATATTGGGATTATTTTGAGTTGAAGAGAGAAAGACAGCAAATGCAAGAAGGACATTCTGACCTTCCTAAACACAGGAGATAAACTCCCATTTGAAAGATGTTCTCCCTGCACCTGGAGGAAGGAAGATCTTCTTATCATCAGATATGGGGAGTCAAGGGTTAGAGAAATCTGTTCTAACAGAACTTGTTACACTAACTAACCCTCATCTTCCTAGCCACTTCTCCATGGTTAACTAGCCTGGGCCAAGCCCCCTTGCTTTGTCACATTTTCACAATTTACTACTCTTTGTCTAAACCAGCATATAACTGGTCAGCTCTAATTGCTTCTTTGGGTCTTCATTTCCCTATGAGGGGTCCATGTCTTGTAAATCTGATATTAAATAAATTTGTATGCTTTTCTCTCCTGATAATCTGTCTTTTGTCAATTTAATTCTCAGGCCCAGCTAAGAACTCTAGAAGGGCAAAGGTAAAATTGTGCCTTCCCCACATCCTGGACATGCTTCTTCCCAGGCTGTTCTCACATCTCACAAGCCCTAATACTTGGTTTTATTTTCTGATTTCTCTCCTTTCTCCTTGCTCTCTTATTCCTTGTTCCACAAACAGTTTTTTGGTAATAACATATGTAGGGGATGAAAAATAATTTTTCTTATATCCTTCTGAGTTCTTAGATGGGATCCCCTTAACAAAAGACAGATTAACAAGAGAAAAACAAACAGAAGCTTATTAACATGTGTGTCTCACATGTACATGGCAGATACCCAGGAAAAAATGAGCAATTCTCAAAGACATGGCTTAGAATTCAGGCTTAAATACTATCTTAAGCTAAAAACAAAGACAGACATGTGTGGGGCAGGCCAGTTATGGAAAACTAATGGTAGATAAAACCTGGCTAGTAAAGTTTGTTGCGTAGATTTCTCTGATGCCCTCTCCAAGCTAACAACGGTGTAAAATTATCTCAGGTAATTCACCTTTGCCCCTCCCAGTAGAGAGGAGAGGAGGGATACCTTTGTAAACTTATGTCCTGCTTTTAGGCAAACAGGGGAAGAGCAGAGGGAATTTCTTATATCTTCTTTTCAGTTGCCTTTAGCTCAAAGTAAACCGTATGTCAAAGCAGCATATTTTGGGGTGGCGTATTCTGCTACCTTTCACATATACTTGCATAAATACAAATATCATTGTTTATATCTGTTCAATTCTAAAGACAAAAGCAAAGACATCAGTTGTATCAGTTGTCAACTTTCTTAACTGGTGTGCTTAAATCATTACATAATAGTATATTTCTAAGAAGTGAAAGAGAAATGGCATTTGAGCTACTCAAAATTATTTTTAAGACTATTTTCTTGATATGTGGTTCAGCATTAACCCATGTATTGCAAAACTACAGGCTTTGACGTGGTAACTACAAGCTTCAACAATAAAAGTAATCTTCTATATTTATTTATTTATTTTTCTCTATAAAAAAATTTTTGTTTTCTGTGTTGCATTTCCCTTAATGTGCCTAATATAGGAAATTGGGTTGTCATGTGTTATGGGTTTTTTTTCTTTAATATTTGAAGTCTAGTACTGAAAGGGATAGAAACTGAATGTAAACTTAAGATAAAATTTTACAATGTAGGTGTGGAAGGGGTATAATAATACCCTTCGTCCCTATCACGAGGTTCACAGTTGACACTCCTAAAACAAATGAGAGATTAACAAGAAAAAATCATAACAGATTTATTTAATCAAGGTTTTATACGATATGGGCACCTTCGAAAATGAAAATGTAAAGATCCAGGGAAAACTATTTTTGTATTTACATTTGATGTATAATGGATGGCCATGTAGAAATGTGATTGGACAAAATGGTACGACCTAATGGTCATAGACAAAGGGAAACCCAGCACTGCCTGTCTGTTCAGATTCTTCTTGGCCTTTCTGTGTGACATTTCGTCCTCCTGGATATAGGGCAGGACCCCTTTGGAATGACAGTCTTATGATCTACTATCAGACAAGGCAGGTTAGAGAATTTCTTTATGGCCAGCTCTTACACAGAAAGGCAGGGGACAGTTAGAATAATATTTCTAGGTTTCATGGCTAACTTGAGGGGAGAAGACTTCTGGTTTCTATGATCTACCTTGGGGAAGAGAAATTGTAGTTTCTATGGTCTGGCCTTGGGGAGAAAAGGGAACAGGAGAAAGAAGGGCAGGAGAAAGTCAGAAAGAGACTTTGTTTCTGAGGCCCTTCCAATGTAATTTAGTTCAAAGTCCTCAGCATACCGAAGCACTGTACTTTGGGGTATCATTTTCTGAGCTGCAATAACAAAAAACTTAAGAAGTTTCGACTTTAAGTATAATTTTGTGCTATTGATGTTCTTATTGAAATTTTAATACAGTCAACCCAAAGAATAGTACAGTTTATAAATATGTTATGGTTCCAAAAAATTAAGTGAGAACTATGCTGAGAGATTTTATGAGTGTAACAAATATGTATGATTAGTTCATAAATTGACTCTTGTTTTATTTGTATAATATAAATTTTAGTTAAAGTCATATTGAAAGGCACTTATAGTCTGCAATAGAAAAGGTCATTGGGTAAGAATGCTTAAAGTATAGAAATTGCTATGAGTTTTGAGATCATGCTAGTTCATCCTGAAACTAATGAATTCTATTAAAATGAGAAATAATATATAGTTCTGTAATGATCAAATCTAACTGTAAGAAATTAAATCTGATGACCAGGAAAAAGAGCAATCAGTGTGCATCTCTGAAGTTTGCCTGCAGGTAAATTGTCTTGTGTTAAACTGAATTCACTAGCTAAGGCAATTATTTTTCTATAATATTTTCCCTTCAGAGAGTAACTGCAAATGATACATGCAGCAAACCACAACCAAAAAAATGACGTAAATGTTTTATTGTCAATAAACTGCTGTAACTGTGAAGGTAACTGAATAGCAAACCAGCAACCGGAAAAAAAAAAGATATAAAATATTTTATTATTGATATAACGTGAGGCATACTTATAATGTTACTTTGAATTCCTTGAACTGAGGAAAATCTAAAAGCGTATAGTTACTTTGCCTACTGACTCGCACTGGGAATGTTTCTAATGTTGTGATTCACTGACCAGATGCAGCAGCGTGTATGGGGTTTTCCCACTGTCCTTGCCCAGAGACCTCTATGCTGGTTACTTTCAGTATCACTGTGTATAAATTCAAGGCTTTCATTTCCCACTAGCTTCCCCTAAGTTTTCAGAGTTCCAACCACAATTTCAGGCACTTAAGAGTGTCCTGGGCCACCGAGGTGGCGACTGTCCTCAGAGGGACCTTGGAATGCACAGACGGGCATCAGTTGGTTGTGCGGTCAGCGGGCAGCCTCTGGGCCTCTCAGCAAAGGCCATGGATGGTGCTTGCTCCAACACCATCCCCTGGCACTGACAATGAAGCTAACTCAGAGTGGGTGGAGGCTGGGAAATCAACAATAGCTGACTTCCCTCTGGCCTTCCCACTGCCCTGCAGTGAGCGCACTGCTCCAGGGGCCACCTTGCCCTCTCTCCACCGCCACTCCTCCTTCCTGTTCCACATGGGCAGTTGTAATCTTTGGTTCACTTGGAAGTCAAGAACCTGGTCCCTCATCTATTCTTTTCAGTCTATTGTTTATGACAAAAATATTATGATCTTAGGCCTTCATAGATGCAACTTCAGAAATACTAAAGGGCATGTCTTCAGGATCAGAAACCTAGGCTGTTGTCTCCACTAAGAGCTCTGAAAGCATATTTTGATATGAAAATTTAAGGTTTGTCTTCTTTGTTCCTTTGATTGACTATGGTGCTATTTTCTGGAAACAACTGAGGAGTAAGGACCTACCTCCCTTCAGGATATGAGGAATGGTCAGGGGCTAGGAGGGAGAAGACATCAGGTAATATGAGAGTACATATCTAAAAGTACCAACTACACTACCACCAACTAGCTGTGCTACCTTGGGCAAATTAATTTACCTCTCTGTGACTTAATTTTCTTACCTGTATTACTAAATAGTTTCTCATGGCTACTGTAACAAATTACCACAAACTTAATGGCTTAAATAACAGAAATATATTCTCTCACAGTTCTGGAGGCCAGAGTCTGAAATCAGCTTCACTGAGCTGAGTTCGAGGTGTTGGCAGGGCCATGCTCACTCTGGAGCTTTAAAGGAGAATCCTTCCTTGCCTCTTCCTGCTTCTGGTAGCTACCAGCATTCCTTGGTGGCGGCTGCAACGCCCCAATATCTGCCTCTATGATCATATTGCTTTCTATTCTTCTTCCTGGTGTCTAATCTCCCTCTGCCTCCCTTTTATAAGAATATATATGGTTGCATTTATGGTCCACCCAGATAATCCAGGAAAATCTCCCCATCTCATGATCCCTAATTTAATCACATCTGTGAAATCCTTTCTTGCTGTATAAAGTAAAATTAATAAGTTTCAGGGATTAGAACATAAATGTCTTTTGGTGGGACAATTATTCAGCCTACTATAAATTAGGTCGAGAATAACAGTACCTATGTGAACATTAAAGAATATACTGTATGACATTCACTTAATGTCTAGCATGCAATATGGAGACAGTAAAAGTTAGCCATGATGGTAACAGGAAAAACTGTTTCAAAATAAAAATTATTTTTTAAATAAGCATATATGGAGGGTCTTGTCTATGCATTTTTGATATGTGTTAACTTTAAAATGTTAATATTATTGAAATGATTGTATCTCCACATTGAATAATCATAATATATATAACATACTATATGTAAGTAATATTATAGTTTAGGCACATGATACATATAGCCATTGTTGGCTTTGTCTTTTGTCACTTTTCACTTAAAATTGAAATCATTTCAGCAATCTCATCCATCCTGAATTCTTCCTAAGGTCAAAATCAAAGATGTGATGTCATATGATTGCCTCCTTTTGTTCTCTGTCTCCTGCCCTAGGATACAGATCTAATGACATTCAACATCTCTGTACATCGGTCATGGTGGAGAGAACACGGGCCGGGCTGTGTGCGAAGAGTGCTGCCTCCCTCAGCCCACGGCATGATGGACGATTACACATACGTCTCCGTCACGGGCTGCATCGTCGACTTCCAGTACCTGGAGGTCATCCACAGCGCCATCCAGATACTACTCTCTGTAAGTGTCACTTTTGTGTCATTATCTCATCAGGACTCTTCTTTATTGGCATTTTGTGTCTAAACCTCCTCTCCACATCTACTTTGTCGAAAGTGCTACACACAGAGAACATCCTTTAAATGACAGAAATACCAGCAATTGTAGTATCACTAGCTATCTTGATGGCAGGTCACATCTTTGTCTTCTTAGCATCCAGACTTATTGTTTTTAGAAGCAGTTAGTTGCTATAGTTCCTAACGTGAGATACAACCCACACTATTTGATGAAATAGTATCACCATCTCCCAGAAGTGCTTCAGTGTCCGTTAACTACCTCAGGCTCTTCTACTAATGCACATTAGTTCCAGAGCAGAAAGGGTTAAAACACATAAACCCAATGGCTCGCTCAATCTAATAAACTTCGCATTTCAAATAATGATTCCTTAAAAAACAAATCCCTCCAAAGACTTTCAGCATTTTGGTGCCTAAAATTTAGTATCGGGGTATAATTTCATACAGGGAAACAGAGAGGAGAAATGGCTTGATTATACCACAAAAGGTTTATGTGCCAGGGATTCCTTAAAGGTAATTTCCTTCCACCCAATTGTCCCACCCACAGTTTGACCACAGTGTTGAGTATAATTAATTTAAGGATGTATAACATCATCAAAAATAGTGTTCCTTTAAGACCCAACAAGGACTTATCATTTAGTTTGAGTCAACATACAATAAAACCATTCTCAACCACACTTTTTAACTATCTCAATTCTTCTATCTGTTAGTGAGAATAAGAGACACAGGCTCAATCACAAATAAATGAATAAATAACAGAAATATTAGAGGGGTGTGTCAGTGAAGAAGTAACCTTGGAAGTATCTCTAAAAAGAACTTTGAGAAATCTTCACTATAACTTACTCTATCGATTTATTGCTTAGAGTTCTGTGGGTCAGGAATTTGGGCAGGGCTCAGCTAGGTAGTTCTTCTGCTCCACGTGATATTAGCTGGGGTCAATCATGTAAATGCCACGTGATATTGGCTAGGGTCACTCATGTGAGACTGTCAATCGGGAACTCTGCTGGGACCGCCATTTCCAAGGAGGCCTCACTTACATGTCAAGCACTGGCTGTTGGCCTCCGTTCTCCTCCACATGGCTTCTCTTTCTGCAGAAAACTTGAAAGACTCAGATACCACAACACAGGTGGTATCTGACAGAAGCCCCAACATGAAAACATTTATTAAGCCTCTACTCATATGATTATGTTTACAATTATTAGAACTGTGATGTTTTAAAAGCTCTGATGATAGGAGAGTCATTCTCATATCCGTTGCCTAATATGGACTGAGGTGTTTGCCCTGTTACTGAAAAACAGGGGCGATGGTCGCAATATTTAACAGCCTGAGGGGCACGGGCAGCAGGGGTTAACCCTTTAATATTGCAGGCATAGAAATGCCTAGAAGCTAAGGGAGGGACTGACAGAGGTGGCCAGGATGGAAGAGGGGGTCCCTGGGGGTTTCAGGTCAGCAGCTGTCTACCAAATGCGTGGGAAGTATTTGAATGATTTTCCCATGGAATACAACTCTGTTGGTGAATACTGCCTGAACAATTGTCCCAGGTACAAGCAGAGCTTGGAACTGGAAGAAAGGAAACCTCAGTCATAAGCAGGCTTAGGCGTGCACAGGAACTGTGCACAAGCTTGATGTAAACAAAAAAATAACAGAACTCGCAAAGGTGGCAATAGGCAGAATTCTGAGACCGGACGTCACAGGGGCTCGGGGAGCATCGCCCCAGCCTCCCGCGCCCCTCCCAGGAGCGGGGAGCTCCCGCCAGCGCTGAGCCCTGCACTGCAGTGGGGAGCCTGCGCTTCCTTCCTGGGCTCTCCAGCTCAGGGGCGAGGGAGCATGCAAGGCTGTGAGAAGATTCTCGTTGCCCTAACTCACCAAGTTCTACGGCAGGGCTCCTGCAGGTTGTCAGCAACACCAAGCCGAAGATCAGCGTGTGCGCCAAAGAAAGGTTGTGGATGGAATGAGGGGAGGAGCAAAATGCAATCCACCCAGAAGGTGAGACATCAAAGGCAGTAGCCATAATCCGGCTGTGGATGACGTAAGTCCTTCCTCTCCATCCTCACTGCCCCTGCCTCTGTCATATGCTTATCACTTCTCACCTGATGGATGGCCAACAGCCTCCTACATAGTCTTCGAGGCCCCAGTTCTGCCCCATCCGTCATGCATGCCCCTTGCTCCCGGGGAGATGACTCCAAAGCGCAAATCTGATCATTCACTTTCCTTCCGATCACCCGTCCATGATTCAGCTTCAGGATGAAATCTGAATTCCCTGCTGTAGCATGTGAGGTGCTCCTGACCTGGGCCCAACCGGACTCCCACCCTCACCTGCAGGGGAACCCAGCCGCCCTCTCTGCAGAGCCTGGCGCATTCTGCGGCCGCCGGACCTTGCAGCTCCTTCCTGCCTGCCGTGGTCTGCGTGCAACCGGTTAGTGGAACCGGTTCTCCACCCCATTCCTTCTCCCTCCTACCCCAGCCTCGGTTCTTCATCCGCCTGGCCACTAGAAGACGTCTTTCCACTACTAGATGTCTTTCTCCAAAACGTTTCAGGATATGTTAATTTCATTTTTAAAAATAGAAAATACACTCACTTGGTTCAAAGACATAAATTGTATGCAGTGAAAACACTCCTTCCCGTGTTTGGGGCCCATGTGCCTGGTTCTCTCATCTTTGCTCCCCAAAAGACACACACTTTTATTCTGTTTGTTTTTATTTTAGCGTTTTGCATGAGTCCGACATGTTTTTATACAAGTACAAGAAAATATGACGATATATTTCTGTTTGCACCACACCAAAGCTAGCATATGATAGGCGCTCTTCTGAGCCCTTTCTTTTTTCATTATATATTTTATAGATATTTCCATATCAGTGCATGAGTGTTTCATTGTTTATTTAATGGTCCCCTATTAATGGACACTTGGATGTTAACCCCATCCAAATATAACAGTAATTCTAAATGTATACATAACACATACATGTGTCATATATACATATATATAATATAGCTAGCATAATATATAATAGTATAATATATTGCATATTATAATTGTATGTTAATATGGCTATTATACACAAGGTTCTACTAAAGAACTCTGTGTTCTGTTACTGAGAGCATTTCCTAGACCTGCCCCACCCATTCACTCCAGGCTGTCCTAGATGACCTAACACCTGAGCACACTGTTTTTTTTTTTTTTTTTTGAGACAGAGTCTTACTTTTGTTGCCCGGGCTAGAGTGCCATGGCGTCAGCCTAGCTCACAGCAACCTCACTCTCCTGGGCTCAAGCGATCCTACTGCCTCAGCCTCCCTAGTAGCTGGGACTACAGGCATACGCCACCATGCCCGGCTAATTTTTTCTATATGTTTTTTAGTTGTCCAATTAATTTCTTTCTATTTTTAGTAGAGACGGGGTCTCGCTCTTGCTCAGGCTGGTATCGAACTCCTGAGCTCAAACAATCCGCCCGCCTCGGCCTCCCAGAGAGCTAGGATTATAGGCGTGAGCCACCGCGCCCAGCCCTGAGCACACTGTTTTATAACCACTGCGTCTCTCGTCTGTCCATCCACTAGAATGCAATTTCCTTGCGGCCTGAAATTCTGTCCGTTTTTCCACTTGCTTATGTCTGTAGTTTCAGTAACTAGTAGAATGATGGCAAATAAATATTTGTTGTATGAATAAATGACCAACAAACAAGAGATTCCAAAGTCTGAAGTGGGTAGACACAAAAGGAAGAATCCATTGAACAAAAACCAGCAAGGGTTAACGCACAGACAAAAATGCAGGAGCCAGAGGGAAGATGCCTTCCATCTTGGAAATTAAGAGAATGTAGGTAAACCATGCACAGTGCATCGCTCAGAAGCACTCAAAAAATATTAGCATTTTATTGCTATTACTAATGTTATTATTAATACTACTATTCCTCTGTGCTTGTTCCTGTCCTATCTGGGCTCGTCCTTCTTTCAAAGTCCTAAGGGCTCCATCGTGGTGGCGCACTGTATACTGAATTCTCGGTTCTTTAATCTCACACCCGACCCTTGTTTCATATGTGAAAATATAATTCCTACAACCTTCATAGGACACAGCAATCATAAATCCCTATTCTGAGGGCTGAACTTCTACTTAATATGGATCTATTTTCCTCTTCTAGTTTCCCAGAATCCTTTCCTACCTAAGCTTCACAAGAGCATTTGGCTGACTGAATATATTTTCATATTTTCATGAAAAATCTCAGAATTACTACAGTGAAATAAGAATTTAAGTAGCTAAAGACCAGTAGGATGTTCCTGAGGGCCATGACTTTGACTCCTTATTTACTTTGTATCCCTAATACCTAGGGCTATACTTAGCTCAGAGTGGTCACTCATGCATAGCTGTTGAGTAAATTGTTGTACAAATTTTCTGGATTTTAGGTTTACAAAATATAAAGTGCATAATTTTTGAATAATGGAAGCAATTTAATGAGGCTATGTCTTGATTTTGTTCTATACCCTTTGGTAAACAGAAACTATCCAGAAAACATGTTTTCAAATTATTTCTGATGCAGATGCTTTTGGTCTGGATTCTTGAGGATACAGGAAAAAGGAAAGTTGATCTCCTCTGAGACCATAACCCTACCTTTGAATTTGTTCTTCCACATGTTCTTTATGTTGAGAGTAATTTTACAAGTTTAGCCTATCTTAGTTGCTTTACTCCCATTAAGAGGGATATGGAAACAGCTTCTGGTGAAAATCAAAAACTATGTACAGTTAAATTCCAAGCACTATATTGTATGCATTTTCAAGTCAGATTCTCACTCTGGGAATTTAATACCACAGATTTAAAAAGGATATATACACAAACACACACACACACACACACACACACACACACACACAAATATATATAGTTAAGCACTGCAACCCAAAATATAGCATTTTCTTTTTGTGCTAGTGAATATGGATAAAATATGTCTGCTTGAAAGAATCTC